CAATCATCATATTCTGTAATCTTAATTGTAAGATAACAGGTAAGGATAGACCTCACTGATGTGTCTAATGAACTGGTCTCGAAAAGCTTTTGTAAACTGTTCTCGCATTCTCAATCATGGTTGTGTTTCTAACTCATTTAAAGTGTTTAAATATCAAGCCAAGAAATTGCGATAAATTTAATGACCTGCAGGACCAGACAAACATTTGTGACGTTTTTTTGTTTTTTAAAGTATGCATGAGAGAGAGAGTATAAATTCAATTTCTTTCAGCTCCCAAATTAGCATACTGGTGGTTCCTTCTATCCCATTGGTGGATTTCAAAACCAATGGTATTTATACCAATTATTTGTGTTAACGTTGGGCAACTAAATAATTAATATAACACTACACATTTTTATAATATCTACCGTTCAGCCTCCATTGATTTAATTATAAGCACAACTTTGTTACTTTAAATAAATTGCACAACAATTCCATATCAGACAGGATTTGTTAAGGAGTTGCAATTTCCAAGCAAATAGAATATAATCATATCATATATTCATAAAATCCAATCATCATGTTCTGTAATCTTAATTTGAAGATAACAGGTAAGGATAGACCTCACTGATGTGTCTAATGAATTGGTCTCGGAAAGCTTTTGTAAACTGTTCTCGCATTCTCAATCATGGTTGTGTTTCTAACTCATTTAAAGTATTTAAATATCAAGCCAATAATTTTTGCGATAAATTTAATGACCGGGACCAGACAAACATTTGTGATGTGTTTATTTTATTTTATTTTTTTATTTTTATTTTTTAAGTAAGATAGGGTATAATTTCAGTTTCTTACAACTCCCAAAATAGCGTACTGGTGATACCTGCAATCCCATTGGAGGATTTTTGAACCTAAGGTACTTTTTGCTATTTATTTGTATATAATGCTATACAATTATGATATACATTAAACATGAATAAGATATATTCTTTACTTCTACCACCATGTTTGCTACTCCATAATGTGATAGTTTAACAGAACTTTTCTTATTTATATAAGATAATTTTTAGATCAGATAGGACTCATAAAGGGGTTGCAGGCCCCAAATGAATATGGATTATAATCACATATTCATAAAATCCAATCATCATGTTCTGTAATCTTAATTATAAGATAACAGGTAAGGATAGACCTCACTGATGTAGCAATTCAACTGATCTCGGAAAGCTTTTGTAAACTGTTCTCGCATTCTCAATCATGGTTGTGTTTTTAACTAATTTAAAGTGTTTAAAAATCAAGCCAAGAATTTTGCGATAGTATTTAATGACCAGGACCAGACAAACATTTGTGAATGTTATATATATAAGTAAGCTTGAGAGAGTTTAAATTCACTTTCTTTCATCTCCCAAATTAGCATAATGGTGGTTCCTCCTATCCCATTGGTGGATTACAAAACCAATGGTATTTATACTAATTATCTGTGTAAACATTGTGTAACTAAAAAATTAGTATAACATTACACATTTTTATAATGTCTACCATTTAGCTTCCATTAATCTGATTATTATAAGCTCAATAATGTTACTTTTAACAGCTGTAAAATAATTACTAGATCAGACTGGATTTGTTAAGGAGTTGCAATTCCCAAACAAATATGGAATATAATCACATATTCATAAAATCCAATCATCATATTCTGTAATCTTAATTGTAAGATAACAGGTAAGGATAGACCTCACTGATGTAACTGATGGACTGGTCTCGGAAAGCTTTTGTAAACTGTTCTCGCTTTCTCAATCATGGTTGTGTTTCTAACTCATTTAAAGTATTTAAATATCAAGCCAAGAATTTTGCGATATATTTAATGACCGGGAGCAGACAAACATTTGTGACATGAAGAGTTCAGATGCAAAAGCCTCTAAGTGCCATTTGAAATTTTCTTCTAGAATGATCATTTTTATCAAGCTTGTATATTTAAGTTCAGTAATTTCACTTAAATGGCAATGATAATTACCTATTAATTGTTATTTAAGTGAAATTACTGAACTTAAATATACAAGTTTGATAAAAATCATCATTAAAGAAGAAAATTTCAAATGGCATTTAGAGGCTTTTGCATCTGAACTCTTCATATATACATATATATATGAACCTAAGGTACTTCTTGCTATTTATTTGTGTATAATGCTATTCAATTATGATACACATTAAACATGAATAATATATTCTTTAATTCTACCACCATGTTTGCTACTCCCTAATTTGGTAATTTCACTGTGCTTAACTTATTTATATAAGATAATGTTTAGATCAGATAGGATTCATAAAGGGGTTGCAAGCCCTGAATGAATATGGATTATAATCACATATTCATAAAATCCAATCATCATATTCTGTAATCTTAATTGTAAGATAACAGGTAAGGATAGACCTCACTGATGTAACTGATGGACTGGTCTCGGAAAGCTTTTGTAAACTGTTCTCGCATTCTCAATCATGGTTGTGTTTCTAACTCATTTAAAGTATTTAAATATCAAGCCAATAATTTTGCGATAAATTTAATGACCAGGACCAGACAAATATGTGTGATGTTTTATATATATATATATATATATATATATATATATATATATATATATATATATATAAGTAAGCTTGAGAGAGTTTAAATTCAGTTTCTTTCAGCTCCCAAATTAGCATACTGGTGGTTCCTTCTATCCCATTGGTGGATTTCAAAACCAATGGTATTTATACTAATTATTTGTGTAAACATTGTGCAACTAAATAATTAATACAACATTACACATGTTTATAATCAACGCATTCTCACCCCAAGGCGTCACCTTTGACCATGCTTCAATATTTGACGTTTTAGGCGCCCTTTAGCGTCACTTACATGACGCGATCCTACGGCGTCATCTAACTGACGCTAAAGGAAAGCGTCAGTTAGAGGACGCGGTTAGGTTTAGGTGTGGGGTGGGGGTAGGGTACACGCGATCCTAGGGCGTCATCTAACTGACGCTAAAGGGCGCCTAAAGCGTCAGATATTGAAGCATGTCCAAATGCTTCCCAAGGCGTCAGTTAAGTGACGCCTTGGGAGTGAGAATGGGCTGTTATAATATCTACCGTTCAGCTTCCATTAATTTAATTATTATAAGCTCACTCAATATTGTTACTTTAAACAATTGTACAATAATTTCAAGATCTCTGCATGTTACTGTATTTTCTCGTGGCTAAATATTTTTGATTAAATGCAAAACATTTCTCATATGTATTCTCTCGTTATTTCATCAGACTCCAAAAATGAAAAGGTTTTTTAATGATATCTGCATCATTAAATAAAAGCGAAAGTTTGAATATTCCTTTTAACTCTAATTAAAAAATATCTAAGTGTAACAATGTACTATGTCAGGGAAGGAAATGTATAATCAGTTCAAAGATAATCCATACAAAATATCAAATGTTCTGGAATAAAGAGAAGACGAATCTGACATTTAAGAAATGTGTGAAGCCTCACAGGCTCATCTAAAGTACAGAAAAGGGAGCTTTTATTCATGTTGCATTTCATTATGTAGTTGCATTTCATTTTATAGACAGACCTCATTTCATATGTAAACATGAGTTCACAGTGGAAATTTACCCTAAACACTTTCCCAGACTTACTGGGGCCAGAAGTTGATTCACATGGTACAATCAGTGGAAATTAACATTGAGTTAACACCTTCTGAAAGCAGGAGGGTTTACCCATCCACCCTCCTTTGTGTGTATGTTATCTCTAAACTCTTAAAAAAATCGCATTACCTTTTGTTTTACTTATTTGGAAATGAGACATTTGCACCTGTCGCACTTGTAGACATTTCAAATAATACTAAACATATCATACTCTACGATAATCATTCACATTAAACCATTTAGATTCTTGTGTGAGTTTGGCTGATCTCTGCATGGGGGATGAGGGGGAGTTCAAATGTTAATTTTCAGCGAGGTCATTTGTTCATTCGAGGAGTGGCAGTTCCTCAATCAGTGTCTTACAAAGTTTTAAAACTGACATTTAGCAGATTAGAGTTAGACGATATAGTTTTTACATTTTACAATGATATAAACAATCAAGCAGTTAAGATTTGCTAAATAGTAGCACTTTATTCTTAATATAGTGGGCCTATAGTTCAAGTTACGATTAATGTATAATTCATGTAAACATTTAAAAATAGATTGACATTTTTAAAATGCACATATCTGTGTTTGCATTTAAGATGCTGTCGTGTCAGTTGTTGATATGTTTCAAAATCATGCATATCCAAACATGAATGTGATTGCCTTGTATGTGTGAGATTTGCTTTGGCCGTAAGGGCAGGGCCTAGGACAGGCTTTGAGACAGAGGTGAACAGCTGATTGCACAGGACATGATGCCCTCTTGCTGACTGTCTCACTGCAGGTGGAATGTATCCAGAGAGCGAGAGAGACAGAGAGAGACGGGCGGTAGGGAGAGATGTGCTTGTGGAATGTGATGGGTGGTACCTGTGTGTATTTTTGTTGTAATGTGTGTGTGTGTGTGTGTGTGTATTTGTGGGAGTTAGAGGGGTATGTGGACTGGAATGTTCTCGAATAATTTGATGACTGTGCGTCCATCTGTCTGCTTGCTCTCAGTGTTGTAAATCACATTCTGTTCATGATGGAAGCTAGTGGAGATTTTCAAATAACTTCTGCAAGGAGACAAAATGAAGGCAGGACTTAATTTTATCCATCAGGATTTGATTGGATCATGGCGTTATTTACCAGAACGAAGGACCGAATGTGAGTTTACTTAAACCATCCGATAACAAGCTGCCTAAATATGGACTGTTCACTTTAGATGTGAAGTGTTTCATTTACACCCGGAGAGTCAACAAACAATTGTAAAAAGAATGACTTTCAAACAGTTTTCCTAAACACTCCCCCTTATTGGTCACCCAAACAGATAGTCCCGCCCCTAAACTCATGCTATTGGTTGAGCTGTTGCTGTGTCAGGCTGATTCTCAAACAAACAGAGCAATGTTTTGATAGTGTTTGAACATTGCAGGGAAAAAAAACCCAACAAATGCTTTGTCTCTGCGTATAAAACTAGGATAGTAAGTATAACTTAAAAAAAAAAACACTGTAAGGCAAATTACATGTGTATTTGTGTCATGGTTTTGTCAGAACGTACTGGAATATGATGTCTTGACAATGTGATGAGGTAGTGGAGGAACTCAAGAATGTTGTTGACTGTTTTACTCAATGCATTCAGTTACTGAGCCTATCAATGTGTCACACATTTTTCTGTATTTAGTGCTTTAGAGAAAAAAGGAAGTATATGGAGTTTCATTAATGAACAGTCAACACTACAGAGAAATATGTACTCCACATTATTAAAGGAGAACTCTGGCGCAAAATGAACCTTTGGTCTAATAAAACATTAGTACCTAGTCAACCGTTCTCTGAGATTTGTTTTCATGATAATCGAATGTAAAGAGTTTTATCTCTAAAAACTGTTTAGCGTATAACGCTAGTAATGGGGGCATCTACTAAGTAAAAAGTAATCGCTACTTTATACCACTAACAAGGCTCAAAATAGCCCCACACTATAACACAGTAACATAATGAGGGTACATACATGCAAGACAAAGGATTGAGAACTTTGTACAGACTTTTTATAAGAAGATACATTATAAAGACAGTTCGTGTATACAGACAGGAGCCATCTTTGGAAAACAGACTCGATAAGTCAAACCACGAACGCTGTTCATACAGTTCAGCTCACTTGGCACGTCGTTCGTGGTTCGACTTGTCGTGACTGTTTTCCCAAGATGGCTCCTGTCTGATAGACGAAGTGAAGTGTCTTTATAACGTATCTTCTTATTAAAAGTCTGTACACACAAAGTTCTCAATGCTTTGTATTGCATGTAGGGATAAGTGAAGAAGCAATGAGATTTCACTCATCTTCAGTTCAGTGCAACACTGAATATAAATCAAGTAACCAACAAAATGTCACATGGTACATTTTAATACCTGCTGTGCATGAAAATATCGTGATCATTTAGTACTTTGATATATATAATTGCATAACAGTCTGATACCATCACTCTCCTCGAAAGTAAATGGTAGAGAACATTGGCTTACGGTGCTTTTGTGAACTGCAGCCCAGCTCATCTCAGTAATTCGCCGTCTCTTCATCAACCTCTCTG